AATCATTGCAGTAATCAATCCCATAATGCTCCAGTCCAACGCTCCATCTGTCACACACCCCCCCCCACACCTCCCCCTCCTGTTCTGATCTCCACCAGTCCTACTGTCAATAAGTGAAACCCACGGTCCAGCAGAGCCTTATGTTGAGCACCTCGTCCGTGTCAGGACTCAGCTTTAACAAATAAATATTTCTATGTTTTCTCTTCAGACTGTAAGGAGTGAAGGAAGTGAAATTTGACTAAAGAAAAAAATTCACTTCTTTTTATAAAACATCAAATAAAGATTTTTCACTGTCACTGAACAGTTCTACAGAACCGTCCTCGACCTGGTTCCTTTCCTCCACTTTCACCTCCTCGTCACTCAGTAACCAACCAGGATTCGTCTTTGATGAATTCGTTCTCACCACCATCCAATCAGGAGTCACTAACACCGGCCTCCCCCTCGTTCACACCCGCCCCCCCGTCACCTGGGCTCACGGAGCTCTGGCTCTGACTGAGTGACGGTGTGGTCATGTGACTCACCAGGGGAGCAGGTGCGTCTCCCCCGTCTCTCCTGCTCTCAGGTTTCGGGGGGGAGTCACTCCCCAGGTTCAGCTTCTCCACAGAGATTTCTCTGAAAAAAAAAAACGACGAACGGAAAAGTGAGAAGGTGAGGATTTAAAAAAAAAAAACAGTTCCAGAAGGTCGGAGTGTCAGACCCCGGTCCATCTGGACAGGGTCTGAGCCCAGAGACCGCTGGAGCAGGTGGAGCAGGTGGAGCAGGTGGAGCAGGTGGAGCAGGTGGAGTCCTCCAGGTTCTCACCCGGGGGGGTGCGTCAGCGTGCTGCTGCTGAAGATGGGCGTGTAGGTGGGTGAGTTAGTCCCACTGGGGATGGCGTTCCTGAGCAGACGGACCCAGGTGGCGATGTCGATGTTCATCTGACGAGCACGCAGGAAGGCCTTACCTACAACACACACACACACACAGAGTGAACAACAGCAGACCGGACCAGGTGTCGATGGTCCAGGTCTCTCCTGGTCCACACTGGTCTGTATATAATCCTGGTTGTGGAAAGAACCAGGAACCAGGAACCATGAACACTTGGACTGGATCAGAGAAACAGGAAGTGGAAACCACATCAAATAAATCATAAAACGCCACGTTCACATCAGCTAACGCTGAGCTAGCTAACGACGCAAACGTTACTTCCTGTTTTGTTTTGACAGTCTTCAAATGTTGACCATAACAGAATCCTTCTCCTACCTCAGTGGCCCTGACACTGTGTGGCGCTGTTTCCCTTTTATCCACTTTTACAACAATAATATAAAATGTTTTCTTAATTATTATTATTTTATATGATCAATATATTTGTTTATATCTATGTTTGTGATGTTTGGG